GATACCATGGGACAGCATTAATAAAGGGTAATAAAAGGATATAGCAGAGTGATTCTTGGGGGTGATTTTGCCCCCTCAGGGGACATTTGGCAATTTCTGGAAACATTTTTGGCTATCAGGACTCTTGGGTGGGGTTTCCTACTGGCAACTAGTGAGTAGACATCAGGGATTGGCTCAACATCCTACCATACAGAGGACAGCTCCCTGTGCCCACAATGAAGAACTACTACCTGGCTCCAAATGTTCATGACACAGAGATGGAGAGAACCTGGCCTAGCATAAGTTAGGTCTGCTCTTAGGTCCAAATCACACACAATCTCCTTAAAATGATGGTGTCAGAAGATATTAACACTCATGTATCAGTTTTGTTTATCATCAAAGGTATGCACCCTTATATATACCCTTATGCCTGCTATCCATGATTATGTATATTATACATGTATTATTCTGTATATCATATAAATAAATAAGCAGAATCCTAGAAGTTATTTAGAATTAGCATTAAGTAGCACAAACACCACAAGCCAATTTAAAAGAGACAAACAAAAAAGCCTCAAATCTTCATTAACTGGGAACAAATCACCGAAAGCATTAACTAAAGAGATTTCCTTCCCACCAGAAGTATATGTCTCCACATTGAGAAAAAAGAAGCAAAAGGCAAACTGAAAAACCAACCATCTAATATCTGTGATTTATTCAGAAAAGTCATTCTTTTGAGCTAAATCGCATCTTTACAAACAGACTTGATTTTCCCATGAAATAAAATTGATTGAAATAATTTTGGTTTTGGTCTATACCACATTGTTTTCTTATGCCCTGGAGACTAGTCTCTAATTGCAGCATCTCTTTAACCTCATCCAACTGTAAACTTCCCAAAGCCCAGTGAGCCAACAAGAAGGGATGCAAGGCTGCTCAAAATATGGTCTGTAGACCTGGGGCAATGGAATTACCTGGGCAGATGATTCTTGTCAACATGTAGGTTTTGGGGTTCTAAGGCAGATTCAGGGAATTATGGTCACAAGGAACAGGACCCAAGTACCTTCTCCATAAACCAGAATCCTCAGGAGATTCGCACCTTTGCACAATAAAGATTGAGACCCACTGGGATGGCACTAAAGACTTGGATTCATATGGCTATGAGCTCTTTGGTTTGATTCAGAACATCTCTAAGCCTCAGTTTTCTCATAAATAAGATGGAGCAAAGAATAAGACTTACTCCCAGGTTTGTAGTGATGGTATGAGACAATGCAAATGAATTGCTTGCTGAGTATGTATGAGTTCCCAGCAAGCCCTGAATACATGGTAATTAAAGTTATAATTGGACTTCACTGGTGGCTCAGATGATAAAGAATCTGCCTGGCACGCAGGAGACTGGAGTTTGGTCACTGGGTTAGGAAGATCCCCTGGAGAAGGGAATGGCAACCCACTTGAGTATCCTTGCCTGGAGAATTCCATGAACAGAGGAGCCTGAAGGGTCGCAAAGAGTCAGACTGGACCGAGTGACTAAGCATGTTTACACACACACAAAGCTATAATTAATTTGAACCATCATTCTTCTAAATTGGCCTCCCTTTCAAAAACTTAGCAGTTTTAGTGATACCAAAAACTCTTGAGAAATGTATGTTGAATTCATGAATAAATGATTCCACTATGAGTGAGATGGAGGAGGGCATGGCAACCAACTCCATATTCTTGCCTGAAGAATCCCATGGACAGAGGAGCCTGGTGGGCTACAGGCCATAGTGTTGCATAGAGTCAGACACGACTGAAGCGACTTAGCATGCATGCATGCACAGCTGAACTGTGATTCCACATAGGTGAGAAGCAGAAGACCAGATCAGTAAGTTAAGGGTGGGAAAACTGGCATGCCACTTAGATAAATCATGCCTGGGGCTGAATTTCTTTTGTTTCCTACTGTGGCCACCTGTCATTTACTAATAATTAATACTTGCTGAAGTATGGTGTAAGTTTAAATACCAGGCTCACAACCAACATTTCTGAAAAGGGCTGCCTAGCTCTTTATAACTCCAAAATAAACATATCTCCAACGACAAGGAAATCCCTTCCTCATGAGTTTCCGGGCAAAGTTGAGGGTATTTGCATAGTTGCCACACTCCTGTTTGGACTCTTCAAAGAGGTTATTCCTTTATGAACTCAACAAAATAACTTTTGCTAATTTTTCTTTTCTTGATTCTTCAAGCAATCCTTCTCAACAGATCTTTAGGAATATATAATACTTGTAAATGGTAACCCACTCCAGTACTCTTGCATGGAAAATCCCAGGAATGGAGGAGCCTGGTAGGCTGCAGTCCATGGAGACGCAAAGAGTCGGACACGACTGAGCGACTTCACTTTCACTTTTCAGTTTCATGCGTTGGAGAAGGAAATGGCAACCACTCCAGTGTTCTTGCTGGGAGAATCCTAGGCACGGGGGAGCCTGGTGGGCTGACGTCTATGGGGTCGCACAGAGTCGGTCACGGCTGAAGTGACGTAGCAGCATATCTCGCTTAATTTTTTGTATTATTTATCTATTCTGCATTTTTTTCAAAGGCAGAAACTTTAGAAAATTCTGAACATTTGGTTGGTATAACAGTGCATTTTTACTTTTTGCTTTAGTCTATTAGCTATTGATTGCTAGTACAAAAGGTGCCAAAATATGTTAGAGTAACATGATGGAAAAATGGACTTCACTCATTCAGCAAATATTAACGAGCACCTTTGATAAGCCAGGCACCATTCTAGATACTGTGGATTCACTGGGGAACAAAACAAAGAGCTCTCCTGTCATGGAGTGTCCAGGCCAGTGGAGGAAACTGATAAGAAATAAACATAATCAATGAGTCTATTACATAGCAAGTTATAAGGTGATAAGCCCCAAAGAGATAGAGAAGGTAGAGGAAAGTGAGGGGCATCAGGAATGTTGAGAAGGTTTCCAGGGCAACCTTACAGAGAAGGTGATATTTGAACTAACTCTTATGGAGGTGAAGTAATGAGTCAGGCAGATTTCAGGAGATGAGCATCCCAGACAAGGATGAGTTGACGCAGGGGCAGCTTGGGGCAGTGGCTAAAAGCAAAGGTTGGCGAGCTTGGCTGCCTGGGCTTGAGTCCCAGTTCTGCCATTTTCCAGCCATATGGCTTTTCACAAGCTTATTTTCTCTCCCCATGCTTTGTTTTCCTAATCTATGAAATGGGGATGATGACAAGCCAGGGCCTGGCAAATTACTGCCTGTGAACCAAACCCCATCTATTGATTGTTTTTGCAAATAAAGTTTTATTGGCACATAGCCACAGTCATTCCTTTCAGAACTGTCTACAACTGCTTTCACACTACAATGGCGGAGTTGAGTGGTTCTAACAGAGACTGTCTGGCCTGTCAAGGTGGAAATATTTACTATATGACTCTTTACAGAGAAAGTTTGCTGGCCCCTGGACTAGACTAAAAGTAAAGGCACGCCTATGATTAGGGTTTCTCTTTGGGATCATCATTCTCCTCTCCTAAGATTTTGTTTCTCTGGGCAACATCCTAAAGAACCTATAAAGAGATTATATGACACAGTAAGACTTGGGGATATTGTAAAGTATGTAAAAGCTAAAGTGAAATAAAAGTGGTTCTCTGCAAATGGCCTATTTGTCTGGATTACTGATAAACCAAAACTGAAATGAACATTGTGAAAGCCAGTGCTGTGCTACCACTACTCAAAAAACAATAAACAAACAAACAAATAAACAACTCTCAAATGTCACTCATCACATACATCTTGTTTCCAGTGGAAAAAACCTTTGGCAAGGAAGAGACACAACCACATAGTTGAAGTTCCCAAAGGCAAAAACGTCAGAACAAAACGCCAGTTTCATCTCTGTGTATCCTGAGTTGAATTGTGGACTTGTCTACCAGCCACCAATTTAATTCTGAGTTTTAAGCTTCACTTGAATCTTGGATGGGGAAGAGATAAAAGAGCCCGCACAGATCCCAAGAGTGTGGAAAAATGGAAACCCTTGCAGGAATTAGAAACTTCTCGATGACAGCTCCAGCAGCTGATGGTTTTGCTTGTCTTTCTATAATTAAATTTAGTTCACTGAAATTAGAATGACAGACCTCCAGAGATGGATTGGACCTTGGAGATATGGCTAACACTGTCCACTCTCTGCTAGCTACTGTTCTAAGTCCTTTATTTATATTAACTCATGTAATTCTTACAACAACTCTAAGAACTTTGTTACCATTATTATCCCCATATTTCAGATGAGTCAAGATCACGCACCTAGTAAATGGGAGAATTGGAATTTGAAGCCGGGATGTAGATTCCAGAATCTAGACACTCACAACCATATGTATTTCACCACTTCTCCTGATGAATCAATCTCATCCCTACCTTTACAAAGGAGCAAAGAAAAATCCAAAAAAGTTAGGTGACCCCTGCAGTAGCAGTGGGATCTGCATTGTAAGAGTCACATTCTACCTTTTCCACCACCGAATCTTTTCATTCTGAGACATACTCTTGTAATAATATAAACCAGAGATTATGTAAAAATCCTAAAGCTTAAGGTTTTACTCTTTTATAAAGCAGAGCACATTTGATTTATGATTAGGCTTATCTAATGTCTGAGCTGTTCTGCAAAGCCCACATTTATCATAGCCACGGCAACTAAAATATTGCCCTGAGTTCAAGAAGTCTAGAGGGGGAAATAAGCTACTTTACCCTTTCAGACCTGAAAACAGCCTGTGGTGAATCTTTGTAGAAATCAGCCCAGATTCACTTCATCACGGCATGCTCCTTTCTGGTCCGATTTGCTCATTTCAAGCTGCTCCAATATCATCAATCAATCTAAAAATAATGTTCCCATAAATCTCCATTGGCACAGGCAGACTTAGCTGTCACACATCTCAGACACTGATCAATCCACTTTTCTTCCCAAATCACAAGACAAATGTGGAAGAATCACAACATTATATCACAATAATCTGGAAAAGAGGAAGTATAGATATTTATATTGCTTACCCATGAATTACATTCAGCTGTGTCTTTGCTGTCCTCTCTAATTTCACTGAGCTAAGCCTGGAGTAGGAACTTGAGTCTGTTTAAAAAAAATTATTTTTTTGATGAAAAATACACCCTGAAATGGCAGATTGCAGCGAGTGTCTGAGAAATGGCCCAGCTGGCATATAGCTGACTCCCACGATACCTTTTGTTGCCAGAGACCTCCGCTACCATACGTCTCGGGACCAAAAAAAAAAAATGCTATCTTTTCATCGGACCATTGAGAAGTTCCTGTCCCTTCAGAATGGAGGCAGGCTGTGTCGCTGAGTGAGTGAGTGAGCGAGTGTGCGAGTGACTGAGTGTGTGTGTGTGTGTGTGTGTGTGTGAAAGCAGTGCTAAGAGGGAGGAACAAAAAGAACGCAGAGAAATTGAAACTGGATTTCCTGATTTTTATTTTAATAAGACTATTTTGAAGAGATATTCTGGAGTTAGAAAAGGATTCCTCTAAAAAAATCCCCTTTTCCACAGGGATCTACAAATGGTAATTGGACTGTAACTGTGCAAACTGTCCTTATTAGGAATCAACCAAAGAATGACAGAAGCCTCGGGTAAAACCTCTGAGAGCGTGATAAACCACATAGGGTGTTTTCTTTGTTTAGGATAAAGTCTCAATTCTTACATTCCATTTTAAAAACACTGACTTCTTCATTTTTCTAACACTAGTAAAAAAAAAAATTAAAAAAACAAAAAGGTTTCATTCTCCCTTATACTGAAGCACAACACATGCTCTGAATTTTACGCTCTTTGTAAAACAATAGTCCTTGAGAAGTTGTTCATTTCCTGCACGGGGGTGTGGAGGTCAGAGTGGGTGTAACCACTGTGGCCCTGTTTAAGAGGGTGCAGGTTGGGGGTGGGGGCAGTGGGGAGACGGCCTTGAAGAGCAGAGAGAAAAGGAAAGATTAAAAACATATCCTGATCACTTATTACCTTGATCTCCATGTATTCCACATGGCACTGAACCAAAAATAACTCAAAAAGACATCTTTGTTTTCCAGTCAATATGAAGTTATAGTTCTCCTGTGGTCGCAAGTGAGTTCCAACAAAAGAATCACTGTGATTATAACTGACAAACTGAGAAATGATTTCATGGAAGAGCTTACTGACTCAAAATTTAGGGACTCAGTACATTTTTTACTAGGATTCTGTGAGGTTAATCATCACTTGATATAAGCCACACACAGCTTCTGTTGCTCCTGATATTTATTTAGTGAGAGGAAAGAATTTAAAAACAATAAAATACATCAGATGTTTCTCTTTACTAGAACAATTACACTTACAGAGAAATGCAGAGTGAAAATTTACCTGTTGTAGCATATACCCTCACCCCCACTACTCTCAAAACTCAGATATTGAAAAGTCATCATTTCAGCGGATAGTGAATAAGGTTCACGTAATCTGAATACTCATTTATGGAATTCAGACTCACCAATCAAGTTATTTAATATAATACTTTGCATGGAAATGATAAGTATGAGATTCATTTGTCATTGTTGGGCAAGTGGTCTTTCAGTTTATGAATAGATGGAAGCAGTCTGTAATCCTCAGTGAGTCCTTATTAAGTGTCAGATATTGTTCTAAACATTTTATGGGCATTGACTCATTTAACCGATGAAAGGATTTTAAAAAGTAGTTTATATTTTTATCCCCATATAATAGATGAAAAACAGAAGCTCAAGAGGTTAAGTAACTTACTCCCAAATTCACAGCTCATAAGTAATGCAGCTGTGATCCCAATTATATTACGGTTTTTCTATGAAATTGGCTGGAAGACAAAGCCAAGGTTAACAAGCAGCCGTAGTCGGAGCCATGTCATGGTGTTCAGTAAGAAATAGACACAGGGATTTAATGAGTACAGTTACCTAAGCCTGGAGTGGCCTGTTCATTTGATGGAGACATACACTGTCAGGCCCATAAATGTTTCATGAGAAAGTGAGCATTTCTTCAAGTGGCTAATCTCAAATAATCTCAAGAGACAATGTCTTGTGAAATTCCTAGTTTTGCACTTTCAGGGCAAAAATATTATAGAACCACTCTCAAACTTTTGGAGTGAACACATTTCTGATGATACCACCGTTTTGCTTAAAACCCTTTGATGTCTTCCCTTTAGCTCATGGATAAAGTTTTAAGAGTGGAACCAAGTCAAGCTTTGAGAGGATATGCAGAAATAATGGAGAAGTTGTGTATCTCTGGCATTCTTTGGAAAAATGCATTCAAGCCAGAAAAACAAAGGAATCTTTTTTAAGATTCAAATATTCTTTAAGTAGAACCAAGAAGAGGCCAAAAAGTCACCCAAACAGCCTTTGAAATAAGTATCAGGAAGCAATCATAAGGTCCAATCTGTGGAAGAGTTTTGCCACCCAGAAAAAAATGCCAGGAACATGGTGATCTTTTACCCACTTAACTCTTGATTAGCCAAGGATACCAAGCAACAATTTACAGCCTCAAAATCTAAGCCATTAAGCATTTACTCCTGACTCTTACTCTGGATTATTATTGTTTATATCACTGGGGACATTTTGCACTTTCAGGGCAAAAATATTATAGAACCACTCTCAAACTTTTGGAGTGAACACACTTCTGATGATACCACCGTTTTGCTTAAAACCCTTTGAGGTCTCCCCTTTAGCTCATGGATAAAGTTAAGATTCCTCAGCATGGCATCCATTGCCATGTGTGCTGATTTAAACAGAATAAAATCAAATATTCATTGCAAAACAGAAAATAATAACAATAATTGAAAATACTGAGCATATATTAGGTGATATGCAATACACATGTGGTATGTATTCACTCCCACAATTGCATTTTACAGATGTGGTCATGGAGCAATATAAATAGAGGAAAAGACTCACAGGCTGCACAAAGACTTCTTCATGGGCTCTCAGCTAAATGGCCCATCCCAGTCTCCTTTGCACAGGGTAGAGGTCATATGACTAAACTCTAAGCAATGGACTGCTGGAGGAAGTGATAGGCTTCATTTCTAGCCTTGGCCCATAAAAACCTGGAGACAACATCTCTCAAAGCTACATGAGGTCATCCCAGGCATGGGCCACACTTCTCAATATTCATGCCCGAGTGTCCCCTGCTCTTCAGTTCTGACCACCTCTGTGATCTGCCTTAACCAATCAAACATGGCGGAAATGACAGTGAGATAATTTTGGACCTAAGACCTAAGAAGTTCTGGAGATTTCCACTTTTGCATTCTTGGGACCCTGGAACCACCATGTCATAACTGTGGCTACTCTACTGGAAAGACCACCTGGAGAGGCCACATGGAGTGTGAGAAGAGCTTAGCTGTCCCAATGTCTCAGCTCAATCCAGCCTCCAGACAACTTCCCAGTTGAGTGAAGTCTTATGAGTGACCTCTGTCAAGGCCAGCAGAAGTGTTCAGCTGAGCCCAGATCAGATTGCAGGACCATCAGCAAATAAAGCAGTGGTTGTTCTAGGCCATTGAAGCTGGGGGGGGGGGGGGANGGTGGGGGTTGTTTTGATACAGTGAATAGCCAAATCAATATCTTCTTGTGTTGAAGATAGTGGAGCAACAGGAAAAAAACAGCTTGGGTCCTTGAAACCTTTAAACCTTGTTTGGAACATAGCCATCCTATCAATCATAGAGAATATGATTGATACTATACAAAAGTGAAAGTGAAAGAGAAAGGCGCTCAGTTGTGTCCGACTCGTTGTGACCCCATGGACTGTTCTCCAGGTAAGAATACTGGAGTGGGTAGCCTTTTCCTTTTCCAGGGGATCTTCCCAACCTAGGGATCAAACCCAGGTCTCCTGAATTGCAGGCAGATTCTTTACCAGCTGAGCCACCAGGAAAGCCCAACAATATGAGTGAGTAACAAACTTTATGGTGAGATTTGGGAACATTTGTGGTATGGCAATCAACCTCACCTTTTTAAACTTCTTTTGTACACACGGATCACAATTCTAAACAGTTTGAATCTGGAGTGTTACCCCTGGAACTTCTCCTGTACTTCTCCCCACTGATCCACGTGGCAGGTCATTCCTTCAGTTTCTACATTTTTCACATGGAAAGGGAGTAGCTGATCAACCAGATGATAAAGTAAAAACTATTCTTTATAAGTCATTTTGCAGAACATGTAGAAAGTCTTTTATGAACAAGAGGATAAATATATGTTTAATGACATCCTCCAGGTTTTAAATAACAGCAAATATTTAGAAATAGGTGATGCTTCTATCTTTTAGAATTATGACTTGATATGATGAAATGGCATAGTGAAATTTCATCTAGATCATATTTATTACTGATAAAACTTTTGCTGGTCCAATTACCTTCTTTTGACCAGTAACAGAGAACTGGCCCTTGAGGTGTTAATATTTTTTGTGATGGTACAAAACAATGTGAAAACTTGTTAAGGACATTCCAATCCTTCTGATACTGTACAGAGTACAGTGAAGATGTGATATCTTTTAGTTGCATTATCAGACTCTACCTTTATACTGGGCTTCCCTGGTGGTTCAGCGGTAAAGAATCCGCCTGCAATGCAAGGGTTTTATCCCGGGGCCAGGAAGGTCCCCTGGAGGAGGAAATGGCAATCTACTCCAATATTCTTGCCTGGAAAATCCCATGGACAGAGGAGCCTGGTGGGCTACAGTCCATGGGGTAGCAAACGAGTGGGATATGACAGAGCGACTAAACAACAACAACAATTAAAAACACAGAAGGACGATTCTGCATTCTCTCACGGCTATCATTCATTTGCTTCCCTAACAATACATATCTGTCCTCTTCACTCCCAGCACTTGACCTTTGTCTAATTTCGAGTATCCGCTTGCTCCTACTGTCACCCACTTGCAGACAGACTAACTTTCAGATCCTTCAGATCTAAATATCTACCATCAAGGCCAAGTATTATATATCTGGAAAGTTACTAAAGGCCACAAATCTGAAACAATCAAACCACAACAAAGAATCTCTAACACCTGGTGGTGGTGGTTTAGTCACTAAGGCCTGTTCAACTCTTGCAACCCCATGGACTGTAGCTTATCAGGCTCCTCTGTCCATGGGATTCTCCAGGCAAGAATACTGGAGTGGGTTGCCATTTCCTTCTCCAGGGGATCTTCCCAATCCAGGAAATGAACCCAGGTCTCCTGCATTGCAGGCAGATTCTTTACCGACTGAGCTATGAGGGAAGCCCAACACTTAGTTAGGGCTTA